CTCCCCGAGCTGAGCCTCATCCACGTCACACCTGCCGGGGACTGGTGGACAGCTTCAACAAGGACCTGGAGAGAACTATCCGGGACAACATCGGTGGTGGAAACACTGCCCGGGAGGAGGAGAAGTTGTCCAAATACAAAGACAGTGAGACCCACCTGGTGGAGGCCTGGGCAGCAAGTCAGACTTTGAGCGCCACCATCTGTTAGAGCTGAGCGAGGAGCTGGTAGAGGCCTGGTGGTTTCACAGGCAGCAAGAAGCCCCCGGATCTCTTTCAGTGGCTCTATTCCGATTCCCTGAAGCTCTGCTGTCCCTCTGGCACCTTTGGACCCTCCTGCCTGCCATGTCTTGGGGGCGCAGAGAGGCCCTGTGGTGGCTACGGGCAGTGTGAAGGGGAAGGGACTCCAGGGGGCAGCGGGTACTGTGACTGACAAGCCGGCTATGGAGGCGAGGCCTGTGGCCAGTGTGGCCTCGGTTACTTTGAGAGGGAGCACAACAGTAGCCATCTGGTATGTTCAGCATGTTTTGGTCCCTGTGCCCGCTGAACAGGGCCTGAGGAATCCCACTGTCTGCAGTGCAAGAAAGGATAGGCCCTGCATCACCTCAAGTGTGTAAACATGGATGAGTGTGGTCAGAGCAAGCCACCTGTGGAGCCGACCAGTTCTGTATGGACACAGAAGGATCCTATGAGTGCAAAGATTGTGCAAAGGCTTGCCTTGGCTGTATGGGAGCTGGGCCAGGGTGCTGCAAAAAATGCAGCCCTGGCTACCAGCAGGTGGGCCCCAAGTGCCTAGATCTGGAGGAGTGTGACAAAGTGGTGTGTCCAAGAGAGAACAAGCAGTGTGAAAACACGGAGGGTAGCTACCTCTGTGTCTGTGCTGAAGGCTACAGACAGGAGGACTGCATCTGCGTGAAGGACGAGGTCCCAGAGTCAGCGGGCTTCTTCGCGGAGATGACAGAGATGACGGAGGATGAAATGGTGGTCCTGCCACAGATGTTCTTTGCTAGGATCATCTGTGCACTGGCCACGCTTGCTGCTAAGGGTGATTTGTTGTTCACTGCCATCTTCACTGGAGCTGTGCCAGACAAGACTGGGTACTGGTTGTCAGAGCGAAGTGACCGTGTGCTGGAGGGCTTCATCAAGGGTAGATAATCCCTGCCACCAATTACAGGATTTCCTCCCACCCAGGCTGCCCCTAGAGGTTATTTCTCTCTCCAGCTGGACACCTGGGGCAGCATGGTTTCTCTTTGAGACTGGAGTAAACATCCTTTTACCTGCCTTACTGAGCAGCCTAGGACCCCAGTGGTCCCCGGGGGTGAAGAAAAGGTCCTGAAGCTGATGTCATGAGATCCTAGCAAGGGGACCTGCAGGCCTCACAGGGTGTGAATTCCAAGACTGTTTCTCCCTAGGGAGGTTGCAGGTGGGCTTTGGCTCCTGCATCCCCTCAGGAGTGTACCCTCATACCCCCACCCCTGCCAGGTGCATGCTGCCAGCTCCTGTTGTGTATTCACCGCCCACGCCCCAGCCTTTGACTTATTTATTCATCTCAGGAAATAAAGGACGGTCTTGAAAACTGGAAAAAAAAAGAAAAAAGAAAATAAACCCTTGCCATGCTTGAGGAAAACCTCAAAAAGTGAAAGGGGCAAAGACATAAATCAAAAAATTGACACCAGTCTCTGATCTTTAGATCCCTCTGCTATCAACACTGGCTGTGCCTTTAATTCTCATTCTGATTGGATTAACAGTGGAGCCCTGCATCTTAAACTATATAGCCAATTATGTAGGAGTTCACTACAATTAATGATCCTTAGGACTGCCAAGGACCAGCCTCGCTTGAGGAGGGGTTCTGGGAGAAGGAGTGTCTGGGATCAGTGAAACAAATGATAGAAGTCAGATCGTGAGTCCAAGCTGGTAGCCTATATTCTGCTGGACACATATTTCCAGCCTGCTTTCTCTCTGTTCTCTTTCTTTCAGATCTGCTTTCTGTGGAGATCTCCAGACATCTCTCTGTTTCGCTCCAGATAGTTCTCCAAGCAGTTCTCCTTTGCTATTCTAAAAAATTCTCTGGATGGGTCATCTCTTCAGATCATAAGCCCAGTCTTTTATTTTACACATCAATCCAGTCATTTATTCCAGATTTCCTTCATGTGATGAACTCTTCCCTAACATCACACATGTATTGGTCTGCCTTATATACATTGTTGAGCTCCATTTATTGGGACTCAAAAAATTGGTGGTGTGCTGAAGGTTCTTGCCACAGCAGCCGTGACACTCATGGAGGCCCACACCCACTAGTCCTGTACCAGGGGCAGAAACCATCTCATTCTGTCCCCACCATGGCCATGCCAGAACCAGCATAGGATCAGCTACACCTCTTTAGAGAAGGATAAGTCCTCCATTTTACTCATTTACCAAGACCAGTGTAGAAAGTAACAGGACCCCAGGCTTTAACAGGCCCCAGACTTTAGCACAACTGACTCCATGACGGAAAGACTATTCAGGCCATAAAACTCAAAATTTAGACAGTACTACTTGCCAAAATGAAAACAAAGGCCTAATCTATCAAAGTTCATAGTTCTGGGAAGGACTAAATGTACTGACCTTGCCAGTAACTCAAGTAGGGCTAGAACCTGGAGGCTTAGATGCAGAGGCAATGGAGAGATGCAGATTACTGGCTTGCTTCGCATGGCTTCTTTCTTATAGAACTCAGAACAACCAGACCAGGGATGGCACCACTTACTATGGGCTAGGCCCTCCCCCTATTGGTCATTAATTGAGAAAATGCCTTATAACTGGATCTCATGGAGGCATTTTCTCAACTAATGCTCCTTTCTCTCTGGTGACTCTAGCTTGTGTCAAGTTGACACACAAAACCATCCAGGATACCTAAACTATCTAATACAAGCCCAGTATCAGACATGAGAAATCTGTTCCAGTTGTTGGTCAAGGGAGTCCAAGAGACTCCCCAAACAATATAGGTTATTGCTGTTACCCTTGGTTGCCTCCCTGAAATTGAAAGTCAGTTTCTATTGCAGAAGGCACCATCCACTTTGGACATAGGACCCAAGATGATTTGAGCTAGATTTGACCTGAAAGCCTCCTCCCAAAGGACTAGCTTTAATTATTCCAAAAGGTACTAGCAAGCTGCCGAGGGAGGAAGCAATCATTAATCCTATGCTGTGACACCTGCAATTTGCAGTTATCAGTATGGCATGTTATCTCTAAAGGTTCAATAGTGGCACTTATATTTTGGTGGTAACCAACAGCTGTCTAATTAGACTTAGGTCCATTCAACACGAGGGAAATCATAGCTGGTACTACAATCTTAATCAGCTACTCACAGCTAAGAGGGATGGATCTTAGAAAACCTACTACTACCACTTTCCTAAACTAGTGTGACTCTTAACTGCACTCTAAAACCTTTATACCCACCAATGAGTGTACAGCTCTCAGCCCTCATCAAAGAAGCTTCTTTTTACAATTATAGTAGTAACTAGTCAAAATATAGAGAATAGCTGACAATAGGGTGTCCAGACCCAATTAATAAACCTACAACACATCCCTCCACCTAAAACTCAGGGAACATTACAGAGGAAGCAGTGGAAAGATTCTAAGAGCCATGATTCTATACTCATGAAATCTCAGCAATACAGCTGCTTAAATGAGACCTGAATAATTGTATCAGTTGAACTGCCAGTGTGGACAGCAAAAATCTCAAAGGCCCCCAACCCTAGATGAAGAACTATGGGCAAGTAAAGACTGATGAGAGGGAAAATTAGTCTTCCCAAGAAGAGTTCCTTAAATGTTTAGCTAAACAAGTGGTCAACCCTAAAACATAATAAATGTACACTAGACAGATTCCATCAGGTTCCATCTATATAATTATTCAATATTTATAAGTAACAGTAATAAAGACTAAAAGGTTATGAATTTGAGTGGACATGGGAAATGATGGAGTTTGGTTTCATGGTGCTTTCGTACCTGTAACCCCAGTGCTGGAAGAGAAGAGAGGCAAGCAGATCCCAAAGACACAGCACTTAGCCAAGCCAGTCTAACCCAGTGCAATAAGAGATCCTGTCTCAAAGAAAGATAGAAAGAGACAGACACTCAAAAGTTGATCCACAGCTCCCACACATGCATGCACAGGAGCACACAAACACGAGAAAATAAACCTTCCTTAAACTGCTTTCATTGGCATTTTGACATTTTGTCACAGAAATGAGAAAAGTAACAAAGCCTATTTGTGCTTGTCAGGGATTGTCTCTATTCAAGAATAGAGAATGGTATAAATGATTTAGAGGTACATGAAAATGGTATTAATCCAACACTGAATGGACCAAATGCCACTGAACTGCTTAAAACGGTTAATTTTATTTTATATGAATTTCATCTCAATACAAATAAGTAAGTTACAAAAAAAACATACATAGCCATGTATGTAACCATCAAAAACTAAAAACAAAATAAAGGGAGCTGGGCTATAGCTGAGTGGCAGAGCACTTAGCATGTGCAAAGATCTGGGTTCCATCCCTGGCATGGCAATACAAATAAAAAGGGAATGTAAAGGGGAAGGAACTGGTTGGTCTTAAGAATCCTATCACATCCTTATCAAGATCTTCAAATCTCCTGAGCTACACCTCTTTACAGTTGTACCTGCTGTCTGGTAGGTCCTACAATGCTGGGCTCTAAATATGTAACACAAAGACCAGAAGTCCAGCATTGTCTAGTGTTTTGACTTCCCTGGCACTCTTATCTTAAATCAGAGGTTTGTGGGTTTAAGGGCCAAATTTATAAACCAAATTTTAGGCACATACTCTGGTCAGTACTAAATATTTTCCCAGGGACAATGGATCATGCTTTTTAGTTTGTCTTTTTCTTTTTAATACAGATATCTAGCTATTGTTGAAACTATAGCCTTTTCAACAACTCTGTCATGTAAGGGATTTAAAGAATTCGACCCCCAAATTTTTATATATAGAAATAACAACAAAGAGAAACTGACATTATGCAACAAAACTGATTTTCAGAGAACTGGGCAGCTGGAACAGGCTTCAGTAACGTCTATGGTCACTGGAATGGAAGGAGTCGCGCTCCCGAGAGTGCCTATGCTTTCTGTGCCTATAGGACTTATCTGGACTCCTACTTCTACTTCTATGACTCCGCCCTTCAGAATGCCCACCGTGCCTGCTGGAATGAGTACCTGAGCTCCTCCCTCTCTCCTTATCTCTGCTCTTTTCTTCTCCCTCCCTCCTGCTAGAGGACTTATGCTCATGCTTGGGTTTCTCTTTCTTTGCTTCCCACTCAGGGTCCTCTACCCTACCATGGTAGGAACTCCTGACATCAGGGGAACCTGAGTGACTCTTCTTCTTCTCTCTATATTCAGACTTCTGTGCTCTCTCTGAGGTCTTGCTGCTGTGCTTCTTCGAGCTATGCTCATCCTTTTCCTTTACTGTTGTGCTTCTGGAGCAGGATGGCAGCTCTGCTTGGACCTGGCGTTCAGTCTTCTCTTTTTCTTTCTTTTTTTTCTTTTTCTCTTTTTTGTCTGGGAGGGGGGGAAATCAAGAAGAAAAAGAAAATGCACAAAAAGTCTCTTTAAAATGTGCCTTTCTTCTCTCTGTAGATCATATAAAACTGAGCCATTCCCCAATGTTCCCATGCTAGCAGATGGAGAATGTGATGAAAGACGCATCCCAGGTGACAACATGGAGAAGTTACAGGATATGTCTCCTGACAAATGTCTTTAGGAATCAAACTGGACACCTGTTACCCCTAATGGGTCAAGTTGTACAGGACAACCAACATAAGGGCTGTATCTCCACAAACAATCTCATTTTGAGATCTACAAGGGTTAGGACTGTAACATATGAACTTCAAAAGACATTAATTCTGCCTGTACTACTAGCCTTCCTCCCTTAGATACCTCTGCTTTCTCGACCTAAGTAAGCATTCTCACACCTTCCCCTTTTACACTGAAGACTGGATTACTGACTATCTGTGCATGCTTGGAAAAGAAGACCCTAAGACTACCCACTCTTCTCTGAGTTTTAACACTCCACCTTTTTTGTGCTTTTTTGAGAGTTTGGCATCTTCATCTTCAGAGACTTCAGGAGGACTTGATGGGGGTGTTTTAACCCCACAGCCCTTCTCCTGAAGCTCTCTAGTTACATCATCCACATCTTCTGACTCCTGAGGGGCCCGGTAGTTAGCTACATGGTCCACACGGATAGTTCTTCCTTTAATCTAAGCAAAAGGGAAATGTTTCAGCAATAGCTCCTGCATCAAACTATTTAAACAAACTAGAGAACCAAGGTTCAAACCACATACACTGCCTTGTATAAAACAATTATAGAAGGCATGCATTAATACACACCACTCGGGGGCCACTAAATGGGCCTGGGGGTAAGAGAGCCCTCAGAAGCAATTGTGCAGAGCCCATCCCTCCTCCCTCAATATACTACAGGTGCCATGCAAATAAATCTCTTCATATTCTTTGTGTATCACGAAGTTTAAAAAAACACTCAGAAGTATTGGCCTAAAGCACAGAATCATGAAAAACAGTGAGAATTTACAATTTAAAGCACAAATGATTGTCTATAAGGAACTGTGTTCAGTTAGTAAAACTCGCCTTGTAAGAATAAGAACCTGGCCAGGTGATGGTGGCACACACCTTTAACCCAGCACTTGGGAGGCAGAGGCAGGCGGATTTCTGAGTTCAAGGCCAGCCTGGTCTACAAAGTGAGTTCCAGGACAGCCAGGGCTACACAGAGAAACCCTGTCTTGAAAAACCAAAAAAAAAAAAAAAACATTTTTACTTGTACCTTTAAGCATTAAAAGCTTCTGTCATCCATTCTATTTCTCATTTTGATACACTTTTTGAAAAAGCAATTTTCTTCTGATTGTGATTTCTTCTGAATGCCATTCTCTTAAAATTTCAGAATGGCTTACTTTTATAGAATTGATCACTAGATCTTAACTACAGAATTTCCAGGAGCCAATATCTTAAGCCACAGAAATCCTAGACTAGATACCCATGGTTCCATCTAGCTCATATAGCCATGATGAAGCTCCCAGTTCCCTGACACAGCACAATATCCAAGAGTGGTGTCTCTAGTCTCTTCACTCTCTAATGTACTAGAACAGATGGAAAATGTGCCTAAAAAAAACATCTGCCAGATAAGGGGGCACAGACCCATGTTTCTGGAACAACAGTTTGCTAATACATAGGGAAAAGGAACGATTCCTGGCAGGCGCATGAACCAGAAAATGGTTTCCTGGAATCATTCCCTATCCAGTTGTCTATGCACTTCTACAACCCTCACAGTACATCCAGCTGACCACTATTATTTCTGCAGCTGTAAACAGCAGGCAAAAAAGTGAAGCCTCACCCATCCACAGGAAAAGGCCAGCCAAAGATTGCACAGTAAGCACATTTACCTTAATGCCATTGAAATTATCAACAGCCAGAACTGTGCTCCTCTGATCTTCATAGCACAGGAAACAGAATCCTTTGGATTTCCCAGTCTTCTTGTCTCTCACAAGATTAATGTTGACAATCTCCCCATATCTATTTCATAACAAGTTTTATTCATTTAAAAAATAAAAAATGAAAATAAAGTTAAAATTGTTAAAAATAAACTCTAATATGTACAGCATATACTCAACAATGAGTGTGATAAAACTAGAAATAATATTTTAAACAAAATCCTGTTACTCAAGCTAGAGAGATGATTCAATAGTTAAGAGCATTGGCTGCTCTTCCAGAGGATCCAGGTTCAATTCCCAGCACACACTTGGAGGCTCACAGGCATCAGTAACTTTAGTTCCAAGGACTCCAGTACCCTTTTCTATCTCTCACATGGTGCTAACATACATGCAAGCAAAACATCCATAAATTCTTTTTTAAAATAATTTTTTAAAGACTCACTACTAACTAGAACTTGAAACCTATTCTCTTAGCTAATAGTTGGATGAACTAAAATGGAACAAAACTTAAAATGTCAAGGGTATACCACTTAGAAATTTTAAAAAAATTAAAATACGTGAAAATTTGTGGGATGTAACTAAGCCAGCAGCTATACTCAAGAAAATCTGTAACCTTAAAGAATTTGATTCCTTAAAAAGAATGAATATAAAATAAAACAAAGACAGGCTTTAATAAAAACAAAGCAGAAATTAATTAAATACAAAATAGAAAGTCTACCTTACTTCTTATAAAACCAATTCCAAATAAAGCTTTATAAATTAAGTCATAAAATAAAACAGAAATTGATGTATAAGATACATGATTCTATATATACATACCAATCCAAAATCTAGTATTTTATTCAATAGAAAATAGTGAATGTGATTCAACTAAGGTTGAGAACTATTTGACAATATAATGAGGTATAGCCAATGCAATTAGATAAAACAGATAACAGACATGGAGAAGTAAAATATCTCTGTTTGAAGAATATATACAATAGCATATATAGAAAATTAAACAGCATCAATGATAAACAATGACAAAAATAAACAGTTTACTAATTCAGTAAAGTAACAGGACATAGTTAAAAGTCACCCTTTATATACAAAAAAACAATCAGAAGTATAATGGAAGGGAAATCCCCTTCATAATAGCAAAAAGGATTAAATACTTAGAAATACACCTAATAACCAAATACTATACACAATGTATACGAAGAACTCTTTTATATCTCCAAAAGAGATACATATGTATTTTTTAAAAAATACATTCTTTTTTCTAGATAAGATGACTATCGGAAAGATGTCAAGATCTCCCAGAAAGTTAATAAAAATGTGAACATAATTCCAATAAAAACCCAATTTAACCTTCTACCTTAGAGTTATGTATGTTTGATCAAGATCTGAACTGGGTGGTGGTATACGCCTGTAATCTCAGCACTTAGGAGACATTGGCAAAGAGGTCTCTGAATCAAAGACATCCTAGTCTACAGAGAGTTGCAGGAAAGCCAGGGCTACACAGAAACCCCATCTCCAAAACAGCGGAGATGGTAAATAGTCATTCCAGTTAGAGTAGAAATTAGTAAAACCATTTCAGAGAACAATTTGGCAATGCTTATAAAGCATACCAGGCAAGGTCTATTTCTGTTTGGCTCAATACTATATAGGTAAGGCTCAGAGAGCCCTGTGATCATGGATGACTGAGAATTTTCAAGAACCCAAAGAAAAAGGACAATACTGCACCTTCCAGAGAATCCTAGTCTGTTCCAATGCAAGCCCATGCTGAATAAGTCTTAGTAAAAATGACAGAAATTGACTAAAATCCCTCAGACAGACTCTCAAATGATCCAAGCTCTGGGGTCTCCCATATGGTAACTCTCTGGAACCTTATCTATCCTGGGACTGATCTAGGGTCTAGCCTTCCCCATGCAGGGATGTCATTCAGCCTAGAATTAAAATGGCTTTGGTGGCTTTTTGAGGCAGGGTCTCAGTTTGTAGTACAGGCTGACCTGGAATGCATTATGTAGCCTAGGCTGACCCCAAGAGATCCTCCTACCTCAGCCTCTTGTCTACTGTCATTAGAGGTGTACAACCCCACATCCAGCTTGAAATGCCTTGTGGCTGATACAAAAATACACCATGGAAGCAAACTGTTCCATGCATACAGGAGATAGGAAATAACAGAGGACTTACTGTGAGAACACGCAGATGATGTCTCCTTCTGTCAGTTCATAAGGAAGCCCTCCTAGAAGAAAACACACACACTCCAGTTCAGCAAACATTAATCAAGTGTTTACTGCATGCTATGCACTAGGCTGGACACTGGAGGTGCAGATTAAACAAGCCTTGATCTCAAAAATATCAGTCTACTCCAATGACAGAGTGGCTACAGTGACAGTAGTCCGGAAGAAAAATAATTAACTCTCAGATCTCTGTGAGTTTGAGGCAAGCCTGGTCTACACAGTGGGTTTCATAGTAAAACTCTGCCTCAAAAAAAAAAAAGGATTAAAAAAAAAAGAAAGGAAAGGAAAAAGTAATTAACTCTGAGGGGAAAGGCTAGGGTCATCACTTACCAAATTAATCTTAGCATTGAGTCTTCACATCCAAAATCCTATAAAGCAGGTGATTTCCTGCACAAGACTCAGATTTCATAAACACTGAGTTCAAGTATACTGTTATTACCCTCACCTACATGCAAACTAAGACTTATAAAGGAAAGTGTTAAGCCTTTCACAGGAAACAATTTCCCCTCCCTTCACATTTTCCCTCATGTGTAAAACGGGGACATTAACATATTTGCCTCACAGAAGTGTTATAGAAATAAAATAAAATGAGGCACATAAAGTGCTCAACACAACACCTAGTAGAACAGCCTCTTTCAAAAGGCAAACTGCAGGACTTTGGTTGTGACATAAAGTGAATACAGGATAGTAATACTGTCACCAGGGACTTAAGAGTTCCCCTTTTACAAAGGCTCTTAATCTCGTTGGTAAAATAATTCTAAAACAGACTAAGGGGGGAGCTTGAGGTCCATTTTATTAGCATTTGACAGAAAGCTGGTAGAGAAGCAGGTTGTAGGTTTCACCAGGAGGAGGGAGCTGCGTGCCATTCGTTCTGAATTTGGAGGTGAAGCAGGCAGGAGTGCACAGAAATAGAGGCAGAGAAGAGCTTGCAAGGGGACAGGAGAGCCTTTCGATTTGAAATGAGAAAGTCTAGAGTGTTAGGGGCACGCATGCTCAGGATTTCAGCCAGCACACAGAGAACAGATAGAAAGAGCGGTGGGGTAAGTGAGAACTCCGAAGAGCAGGTAGACTTAACACAGAAATCAGTCACAACTGCATTGGGGATCATTTCCCTCTCTTGTCCTTAGCGTGTCTTTAGGTGACTGAGCATTCCTGACAGGTGTCTCCTGACCAGATGACTTAAAGCCCTGGTGGATTAAGTCTTAAGGAAGGGGCACATTAGCATGTAACACTTAGGTTTCCTTAAAATGTCCCGGTATCCACCCAGGGCCAGGGGTATAATAGTCTGTATTCTTTTCCTCAGGAGAAGTAGCCTTCCCTTAATGAACGACAAAGCCCATATCCCTCCACATTTTCAGATGGCCTTTCAAATGTTAAGCAGGAGTAAAGCTAATTTTGAGTCAACCCTCAGTGTCTTCCAAGCCAGCTAATGTCTGTCCAGGTAGCTAACAGTACAGCAAAGAACTAGGAGCAGAGGCCAATTACAGGAGACAAGAATTCTGAAGATGGGCAGACAGGCGATATTCGATAGTGACTAAGAGCACAAGCCCCATAGTTGTGAGTGCTGCGTGGCCTTAAGCAAGTCCAGTAACCCGTCTGCGCCTCAGTTTCTTTGCCATTATTATGGGTTGACTGTGAAGTTAACTGTTTCTGAGCAGCCAAGTAGAAAAATTTTTAATATAATGAACGGCAAATCCCAATTCTAAGAAGCACTGGCTATCAGAGAAGACAACTAAAAAATGGACCTGTGAGCAGACTAGCTGCAAAAGGTGATGACAGTGTTCAGAACTGATGACCCGGGCGCTAAATAACCAGGAGCGAGGCGGAAGAGAGGGGATGGGGAGGAGGCGGGGCCGGGGCAGGCTCTGAAGACACTGCTAGAGAAAAATGTGGAACTCACCAAGAAAGATCCAGGCGCTGTCCTTGTATTCCGAGTGCCAAGACACCTTTTCTGCCACCCCAAGTTGAACCTCTCGCTCATTCAGTTCGTTGATCAGCTTCACCTTAGTTAAAGGGCTGTGCGGGGTGCGGGAAGAGGGAAAGACGTTAAGTCCATTTCCTCACAGCCCTCCTTCTACATACCGAACTTCTCCCGCCCCGAGGCCCTGAAGGCGACGGCCGGTCCCTTCCCTTAGGGGCCGCCATCCTCAATCCTCTCTCCCTTCTTTAGAGAAACTCCCTCCCCTAGCCTCAGAGAAACTAAATCTCCTTACTTCATATTCGCATCTTCGCGCGGCTCTCTTAAGACAACAGCTTCCGGGTGAGGCTCCGAAGCGCTCGCGCAACCCCAACATCCAGCTCAGATTGGAGCCAGCAGAACTCGAGGCGGAACTTCCGCCGGAAGTTTCGGCACGCTAAGGCTTAGCACCTGCGCAGTAACGCGAACGCGCTTTCTAGAGCTTTCGCTCCGGTGAAGAAACAGTTCCCACGTCCCTGCTTCCGTTTTTGCTGTAGAGCGAGGGTGGGAGCCTGTGCGTTAAGGTGGATCCATGTGTTTCTGCGGTCTGAATTAAATACCCATAGATTTATATAACGAATGTGGCCTTTTTCCAAAAGCAAGCAAAAATTAGCATTGTCGAATTAGTTCCTATCAATTGAAGAGTTAGAGAATTTAAAGGTTCTGAATGATAGACAATGTATGCATGTTATCTCTGTTAGGGTCTCAAACCCAGGCTAAGTCTCACTCCAATGGCTCCTCCCCTAAACCTCTGCCTCCCAGGGGCTCGGTTTCTGCCATTTTCATTTTTCATTCAATTCTTGTTTATGTCTTCCCATATAGTGGTTCTCTGTGTAGCCCTGGCTGTCTTGGAACTCACTCTGTAGACCAGGCTGGCCTCCCAACAACCCCATGAAAAAGAGTTACTACCCCCATTTTACAGAGGAAGAAACTGAGTTTTCAAAAAATTAGCTTGAAGGTCTGGAGAGGGGTCTCAGTGGTTAAGACCGTTTGCTGATTTTTTGCCAGAAGACCTGCACCCAGAACAGGTAGCTCAAAACTCCAACTTCAGAAGATCCATCCTCCTCCTCTGGCCATTGTGGGCACTTGCACTCACATGGCATACACAGATATACATACACATGAATACAACTAATAAATATTTTAAAATTTGCTTAACTTGAAATGTCTTTAGCTTATACCAACCAGGTCAGGCTAATTTAATCTTCCCTTATTGGGCATCTAGATTTGTCCTGTACAGTTGGTTTATAGAAGGAATCCACAGGATTAGTCTTCTGCATAGAACTAATGGTATAAGGGCAATATATATTTACTTGAATACTTTATGTCATAAATATTCAGGAATCAATATATAAGCAGAAAATAGGGGTTCCCTTTTGTGAGGGTTGGGGTCCAAGAATCGCTGAAGAATGATACCCCTCAGACTCAAATAGTATACAAAAGCAAAGAGCATTTATTCAGCAGAATTTCCTGCATGCAGGGGTCTCCCCATTTGAGAATGGAGACCCAAGGTATGTGCTCTGCAGGGTCAATTTAAAGTCTGTTAGGGTGTGGATGGGTGACATTTACCTTTCTTTCCCTTGATTGGTTGGCTGATGTGGATGCCTTTGTGACTGGTTAGGGCTCCGTGGACTTTCAGGGTGACAAGGCATCCTCGGATTGGCTGCCTGCTGCTGTGGTTGGCTGAGCATGGGTTCTTGGATCCAGGTTCTCATTTCTGGAAAACAGAAACTTGGACCTTGTTGCCCAAACTGCTAGCTTGCAGTCCTCTCAGAGAGTTTAACAAAATAATTTAACAAAATTTAACAAATTTTACAATAATTTAACAAAATAGTTTCTTTAACAAAGTAATTTTTAAATGGACTCAGCAAAAAACTTAGGCCTAGTCTCCCAAACCGCCAGTTTGTAACCTGACATGGAGTCAGCCTGGCTCTGGCTAACTCAGTCCTCTCAGAGGTTCTTAGTTTCTTTAATTGATTTTTTTTTGCAAAGTGAAAATATGAATCTAATTTCTGTCTTCTTTAGATAGAAATTCAATTTTGCCAGCATATTTCTTTTATTTTTTGCCAGCATATTTTTAAGTAGGTTATCTTTTTCCCAATATATGTTTTTGCTTCCTTTGTCAAAAAATAAGTGGGAATAGCTTTGGCATTTTATTCTGGATTCTCTTATTCTATTTCATTGATATTAATGTCTACTTTTACGACAGTACCAAGCTGTCCTTATGACTATAGCTCTATAGGAAAATTTCAGGTCAGCTTCTATACTACTGTCAGCATTGTTTTTATTCCTTGGGATTTATTTTCTATCTGTGGTCTTTTGTGGTTCCATCTCAAGTCTTGTATTATTTTTTTTCTAAACCTGTGAAATATATCAGAATTATAAAAGGTGTTGCATTAAATCTGCAAATTAAGTTTGGTAGTATAGTCATTTTAACAATATTTATTCTGCCAATTCAGATGCATGGAACTACACACACACACACACACACACACACACACACACACACACACACACGGTCTCACTATAGAGCTGTGGCTCTCCTGGAATTCACTTTTAGAGCAGGCTGGCTGGAAATTCACAGAGATTCACCAGCCTCTGCTTCCCAAATGTTGTGGTTAAAGGCAGCAGGGAACTCTTAAGATAAAGGACAATATGTAATATTCTCATTTGAGGCTGATCAGAATATTATGTCTCCGTCATTAGGGCCAGAGGTAGAACTCAGAATCCGTTCTTTTAACAAGAGGAAGTAACTTTCTCTTAATGATCTTTAACAAAGCTCTGATATGCCACCTTTACATATGGCATTTTAAACCTTAAAGAAAGGCAAAGCTGATTATAATGGACGGGCCCATCTTCAAAGGCCGACAAGCTTACTAATGTCTGTCTAGCTATCTAACAAAGAGAAAAATGATGACACATAATGTGTGATATAACCCATTCAGAAGATTTAATTCATCCTACGTGTGTCTCTATCAGCATTTGGTCATAAACCATAATGTTCTAAAAGTGAAGGTCCAGAGATGGGTAGCTAGTAGTCTGAATGAGCCTTATTCAGAGCAGCAGATATTAGGCCATCCATAATAGCATTTTGATGATGATAAGTGTCCCATCAAGTGGCTCAACCTACAACCAGTTTTCTGCAAGAAGCAAAGACTGCTCAACAAGGACAATTTCTCCTCTTGTATTCTGTCTGTGAACTGGGGACTGCCTTTGGCTTCCTTGCTCCAACGCAGCTGCCCCCTCTCCTCCCCTCCAACCTTGCTATTCATTAACTTCATCAAATAATCTTGCCAGTGAAAACTAAACAGTGACAGATTGCATATGGGTTTTTATCTGTTCGTAGAAATCTCCATTTGCTTTGTTGGTACAGCTAAAGTAGCCACTTGCAAACTGATAAGGTTGCAGGCAGTACTATCTTGCTAGTGTCTTCTAGTAACTGCGAAATAAGATTTGGGGTTCCACTTGGGGCTCAGTCATCTGCATTTCAGAAGGAAGCTGGAGCATAAGAGAAAGTGAGGCCAGAAAATGGAAGGATCATTTATGTTGAAAATATGAGGAGTATTCCTAACTAACTTTTGGGTTTAGCAGAAGTGCTCATTGGTTTTGGGTTTGGTTTGGTTTGGTTTGGTTTGGTTTGGTTTGGTTTGGTTTGGTTTGGTTTGGTTTG